TTCGGCCAGTAGTTTATTCTAAAGATAGTATTGATGATAAAAGTAATTAACAGCACGGCCTTTTGTAGTAATTCTTTTATCATTTTGGGGGTAATTTGGTCTATGCCTGGAGCTTTACGTAGTGAATTTCATTTGGGTCACCGAAATAAAGTCTGTTATCCGTTGTCCTCAGGTAGTCCAACATTAGTTTGAAGACTGCCATGGCTACTTACTTCTCAGTACATTGCAGTTCGGAACACACAACTAATTCTTCTCACATGTGGACACAGGACTGGCATGTCTAGAAAGCAATTAGGTACTGAATGCTATTGCAATTCAGCAGAAATTTAATGCAGAAAGAAAACGGTAATGCTGCAAACTAAATACCTGATGTAGTCATTAATATATATATATATAGTAAGTGTTAGGTGGGTCCCTTGTCACCACGGCATGGCGCGTCCTCAGGTTGCGGATGGAGGAGACGGCCTCCAGATATGGTGGGTAGCTGCGAATATGTTGAATAAGCAGTAGCGAACAGCCGACAAAGGGTAGTACTCCTGCTTGGGGGTCGGTCGTGGTGCTAAGAACTCCTATCTGAAAAAAGGCTGCTTGTTACGAGAGTACACAAGACACATCGGAACTGAATAGATGCTTTGCATAAACGACCTAAGCTGAAGAAAATGGATATGAGATTTGGCACTTGGAATGTACGAAGTTTGTATAGGGTAGGTTCGCTCAGGGCAGTGGCAGAAGAAATCTTAAAATATAAGTTAGATTTAGCGGGAGTACAGGACGTCAGATGGGATGGAGGTGGCATCGCACCAGCAGGAGACTATACACGTACATTTTTCTATGGAAAGGGGACTGAAAATCATGAATTAGATACAGGTTTTTCTTCGTACAAAAGAGAATCATATCTGCAGTTGAGAGGGTAGAGTTCGTTAGTGATAGGATGTCGTACATAATACTAAGAGTTCGCTGGTGTGATATCATCTTTATGAATGTTCATACACCAACAGGAGTTAAAATTGATGACATAAAGGATAGGTTCTATGAAGAACTAGAACACGTATTTGATAAATACCCTAATTGCCATATGAAAATTTTATTAGAAGAATTGTATACCAAAGTAGGGACGGAAAACTTTTTCAAACCAAATTTGGAAGTGAGAGTTTACACGAAATTAGTAATGATAATGGAGTAAACTTTACCACATCGAAAATATTACTATCAAAAGTACAATTTTCCCACATCGTAACATTCGTAAGTTTATTCTACATTTCACGATGGGAAGACACACAATCAAATTGACCATATTGTGTATATAGGAAAGGGCATTCAAGTAAATTTGATGTCTGATCATTCAGGGCAGCAGATTGTGATACTGACCACTACCTGATGGTGGCAAAGGTTAGGGAAAGACTGGCAGTGAGCAAACAAACAACACACAGGGTTCATATTGAGAGGTTCAATCTCAAGAAATTAATCGAGGTTGAAGGTAAAGAGCAGTATCGTGTTGAAATCTCAAAAATGTTCGCAGCATTGAAAGCCTTAGACACTGAGGTGGAAATTAATAGAGCCTTGGAAACTATTAGAGAGAATATACAAAATTTAAGCTAAAGAGAATCTGGGTTATTATGAATTGAAGGAGCACAAAACATGGTTCCATGAAGAATACTCAAAATTATTAGACCAAAGAAAACAGCCGAATTGCAGTAGTTACAGGGTCCAAGCAAAATGAACGTGGGAAATCTGAACAATATAAGACGCGAAACCAGCAGGCATTTCAGGAATAAAAAGGGAGGATGTCTGAAAGACAAAATTAATGATATTGCAACGAACATTTAGAACAAGAGCATTATAAACCTGTATAAATGACTTTAAGAGGTGATACCAACCTAGAAGTAGCTTAATGAAAGATGAGAATGGTGATCTACTTGCAGATTCCCAAAATATTTTGAATAGGTTGAAGAACTACTTCTTGAGTGTACATAGGGTCAGTGATATCAAGCAGATGAAAATATATACAGCTGAGCCGTTAGTACCTGATCCTAGCCTTATCACTTTGAAAGTACCATTGCAAAATTTAAAAGCTATAAATCGCCAGGTATCAATCAAATTCTGACAGAACTTATTCAAGCAGGAGGTGAAGTATTACGTTCTAAGATCCATAAGGTAATTCATTTTATTTTGAATAAGGAAAATTTGTCTGATCAGTGGAAGGAGTCTATTATTGTACCAATTCACAAGAAGGGTGATAAAACTGACTGTAGTAATTTCCCCCCCCCCCTTGGCACTACAGCCACAGTGGGCCTAGGCCTACCTCCATGAACTCCGTTAACGACTGTAGTAATTATCGGGGGATATCACTGCTACCAACTTCATACAAGACTTTATCCAACATTCTTTCTCAAGGTTAAGTCCATACATAGATGAAATTATTGAGGATCATCAGTGTGGGTTTCGACATAACAGATCAACTAGGGATTAGATCTATTGCATTCGTCAGATACTGGAAAAAAAATGGGAGTACAATGAGACAGTACATCAGCTATTCGTAGACTTCAAGAAAGCCTATGATTCAGTTAGGAGAAGAGTATTGTACAATATTCTGATAAGAGTTTGGGGTACCCATGGAACTATACGTAGTTGGGTTAATCAAAATGTGTTTGAATGAAGCTTATGGTAAAGTGCGTATAGGTAAATATTTGTCTGATAATTTTCGTATTCAGAAGGATCTGAAACAAAGAGATGCTTCATCGCCACTGCTTTTCAAATTTGCTTCAGAATATGCCATTAAGAAGGTCCAGAAAAGCCAGTTGGGACTGAAATTAAATGGGAAACATCAGCTTCTGGTCTATGTTCTTGACGTGAATCTACTGGTATAGATACCATAAAGAAAAACACACAAACTTTAATTGATGCAAGTAAGGAGGTTGGTCTAGAAGTAAACACAGAGAAAACTAAGTATATGTTACTGTCTCGTCACCAAAATGCAGGGCAAAATTATGACATAGAAATAGGTAACAGCTGTTTTGCAAATGTGACACAGTTCAGATATTTGGGAACGACTGTAACAAATCAAAACCTGATTCAGGAGGAAATTAAGAGGAGACGGAACTCGGGTAAGCTTGCTACTGTTCAGTCCAGAACCTTTTGTCTTCTCGTCTGCTGTCCAAAAACATAAAATGTAGAATATACAAAACCATTATTTTGCCTGTGGTTCTGTATGGGTGTGAAACTTCGTCTCTGACATTAAGGGAGGAACATAGACTGAGGGTGGTTGAGAACAGGGTGTTGAGGAGAATATTTGGACCGAAGAGAGATGAAGTGACAGGAGGTTGGAGTAAACTGTATAATGAGGAGCTTCATAGCTTGAACTCTTCTTCAAGTAATTTAGAATGATCAAGTCAAGGAGGATGAGATTTGCAGGGCATGCAGCACGAATGGGGGGAAACGAGGAATGCGTATGGGATATTGGTTGTAAAGCCAGAAGGAAGGAGACCACTAGGAAAACCGAGATGTAGATAGGTCAAAAATATTAAGATGGGTCTTAGAGAGATAGGATGGAATGGTATGGACTGCATCGATCTGGCTCAGGATATGGACCAGTGGAGGGCACTTGTGAACACGATAATGAACCTTCGGGTTCCATAAAAAGCCGGGAACTTCTTAAGTTGTTGCTCAAGGAGGGCTCAGCTCCATGAATGAGTGAGTGATAATTGAGAGAGGAATGACATTCAAGGAAAGCAACCCGTTGGGTCAAAATTCTCCTTTGACAATCTAATAAAACTGACAATGAAATAGTAGCGTACAAAAATATATACAGAATAATAAAAGTAAGTCAACAAAATAAATTCACTGATTCCATTACATGGCTCAGTTCTTGTGGAGTTTAAGAAGAATAAAAAGAATAAGAAAAGCTTAAATTATATTGCATCCGCAGAAATGAAATTCCTTCGTTCTGTGAAGATACAAACCAGACTGCAGAATAACATTACAGCCCGTCACAGTAACCGCGCGGTCTAAGGCATGAGACGTCTTCGCTCGTTCGAATTTGTGGGTTCGAATCTCACTCAAAGCTTGGATGTTTGGTGTGTATGCGTTTATTCTGTGCTGTGTCTTCCTGGTTGTAGGTAGCGGCCTTGCGACGGGCTGATTACTCGTCCAAGGTGTCCGACCGTCTATGAAAAATGATTACGGAACTGAATAAGAGGCCTGGGCCCCAGAACGGACTGGAAGAGCCATTGAAGAATTTAGAAAACAAATAGAGATATTGCAATACTGGTTAAATAGCAGCATGTAAAGAAATGTGGAGGCCGGTCACGGTAGCCGATCGTTCTAAGGCATTTACTGTCTTCGCTCGCTTGGAAACCGGGATCCTGGGTTCGAATCCCACTCAGGGCATGGATCTTTAATTTGTGTGTGTGCGTTTTTCTGTGTTCGTATCCAGGTAGAGGCCTTGCGACGAGCTGATCACCCGCCCAAGGAGTCCTACCGAATGTGTAAGTTCTAGAAAAGCCGAAGTTAACGGAGAAGTTCATGGAGGTAGGCCTAGGCCCACTGGGGCTGTAGTGCCAAGGCAAAAAGAAAAAGAAATTTCGAAAGAATACTTATCACCGTCTTCTCAAATAAAGTGAGATGTACCTGCCGAAGGAACGGAGAGATATCTGCAGACGGAGGAAGACATGAGGTCACGGTAGCGGGTCAGTTCATCTCTGCCCTTTAGCTCACTCTTCATCGTTGAAAATCCCGATGGCTCCTCTGTGAGTAGCGCCAACCGTAACGTTGCATTTCCGCGTACTTACTTCTAGACCAGGATTTCCCATCGTCAGTAGAATAATAAGAAATCAGAATACGAATAGCCTCTTCACCTTTGCAACAACTCGATTTAATCTGATATAAATGAACTCCAGGCTCTTTAACATAAAAAAGTATCAAATAATTCATTTGAGAAATGTTACATAATACAGTTGGAACAAATTTATGTTCTCTCGTTGTAATTTTTACCCCCATTTCAGGCTCGACTTGATTATGGTATCTTCGAGGTAATATACCGCTGTTGCTTTGGCAGGATGTTACGTCAGATGTCTCGCTTCTTCCGGTCATGTGGCACTCGGGTCTACAGTCAGTACCTCAACAACAGTTATATTTTCCAGGACCCGAACCTCAACGATCCGCCAAGAATACTAATCACAGGTCTGTATAACTTCAACAAGAGAGATAAAAAAATGAATACACAAAATTAAGAATTAATTTCGTCAGACCAGGCGTGCAAGGGAGTTTTTTAACTTGTTTTTTGGCGTAGAACATTTCAGAACTTCAAATGATTCAGTTTCTTAGGATTTTAACGACTCATACTACAAACAAATGTGACAACCTTCACTTTTATTACAATTATTTTTTTTTCAGTCTTAATCATCTCAAAATTTGCATTTCGCACTTTCGTTAGATTCTTATTTTATTCTTTTTAAAATATTAACGTTAATGGAAGTTTACATATTTCTTAAGAAATCTGACATGACATAAAATTCTCTGGGCCCCGCATTGGACCGGTTGTTGGACAGAAACAACAAGGCAGTTGTTTCTGTCCAGATGAGAAAAGCAAGTCATAACATGCTAATGAATCGGTGTCCCCAATAAATCAGTCACTCTACTGAAATGGCTAAAGAGGACCATAGCGTCCCTTGAAGAGTTGTAAAAGGTTTGGACTGTCACAATTCGTTGCAACGGGAACGTGATTACCTAGGCGTTGCTCAGCAATGGACGTCCGATCTGGCTCGACTGTTCCGGTTTTCAGGCGGTGCTTACCGAATCGTTGCCTAGCAATGGATTATTCCGTCACAATATATTGTACTAACATGGTTTATCACGAAAACGAAACTTCATGTTTGAAACTGGAACAGACGTTGAAGTGATAAGGAGTCAAATATAAATTTACCCGCCTGCAGGTAACAACCTCGTTCTTATTAAAGAACTTTTGAATATCTAGACGTGTTGTTGGTTCAAATAAGCGACTCTGCGACGTCTTCGCGAACAATTGGAATGATTTGCTTATACTTCAAATAGTTGTGTCCTCCACCGTCAGATGTCGCCACTGCATCTCCCCGTCGCAAGGCAAGTGTTGCGCTTTAGTGTATCTTTGCTCCCTTCTTTCATATCTGACCGAAATTGACCATTGTTCAAGATGTTACTCAACCATTTTTGGGGCTGACAACCTCACCATCACCTGCGAGGCGATTGTTTAGAGAATGTGGGAGCCTCAACGTCTCACAACCCTATGGGCCTCCACGGCCTGTTAAAGGGATTGCTTTACCTTTCTTGGAGTACTGTCTTCTGTGATGTGACGCAATATGAGCCACAGAAGTTAGTACCCTCAATGGATGGCTCAGTAAGAATGTAAAACCTAACTTGATTCTGGTTCTTCATGTAAGTTAGTCCCGCTTTTCGTTTGTCTTGAAATGAATTTAATCTGTTTCCTTATTTCCTGCCCATCCTTCAAATGTAGTATACAGAGAGTATCAATACATGTAGCCGTGATCAAAACTTTGGATTATACTTCTTAATATGACTATTTGCAATTCCTGTTCTGTAGTATTCGTATGATGTTGTTGGCAGGTGCTGAATAGTTACTTTTCCATAGCAAATGAACGTCAATTCTACTCTCCGTATTTATTATTATTATTGTCGCGTGCTTCCTAGGCAACATGACAAATTTTGTGGGTCTCGAAATTGGACGAATATTTATTGGATAATCACTCTTTACACTCACAAATACAATTATTCACGCTTGTAATGTCTTCGGACGTTTCCTCTTCAGTGTTATTCACTCTCGCACCGCTAATCCCGTTGAAGTGTCTTCTGCTCTGTTCGGAGCTCAACTGTCCTTAGCTTTTGTCGGATACGAGCTCTTATATCCTGCACTCGGACTGAATAAGGAACAACTTGTCGAAGGGTTTCGTTTCGCCCGCTGCTATGCAACGAATCTCTTGTTGCTGCGGGAATACATTTTTTAATGCCTCAAACAGTTCGTTGCTAGCCTCTTCGTAATGGTGGATACCCCACTGTTAGACTTTCATTTCCGGGGCAACATTTGCTAGCCGTTGACCAGTGATGGGTTTCTTATCGTCCGGCCTTCCTGGCGGCACGTCACATTATTATTTATTTTATTTGCAAATGGGTTTTAACACGTAACACAAAATAACAAGTTCAAACAAAACACAGCACGCAAGAACCACAAAACAATAAAGGACACACTGCGCACAATGAATACAATGCAAATACAATTACAACTACAACAAATATAATTAAAGCTACAATTCTACAAATCAGTAGTCATAAAAGTATGTACACTATACACTAAACAGTAACAGTAATGAAATACTTAATGTCATGAACTTATGCACTCACGTTTCAGAATGGCCTTCACTTCATTCCACAGCACTTCACTTACGCACCCTTCATATCCTCACCACACTTCACTTCATTTCACCTTCACTTGGGCGTTCTTAACTGGATTTGCTTGAATCCACTAAATGATGTACATACTGTAGAGTGTACAGGGGTTACAACAGCACCTCAGTTACAGTGAGTCACCGGCCTTCTCTCACGCAGTGCAGTTGCAACCATTGTCGCCACTACTTGCCAAACATCTCATGAAGCGCAGGCCAAAGAGCAGATCTGAAAACAGCCTAGAGCTGTATGTCACTAAGAATGTATTTTTTTATGAAGTTGTACAAAGGAGGTTGGCCCAAGTAGTAATGTATCTCGTTTTCTGAGTTCTGACATCGTGTAGTCTGATGGAAGACTACCGACGTTTCGGAAGGAAGTAATTCCTTTGTCTTCAGTGTTGAAGAGTAGGCCAAGCAAGCAACAGGCAAGTAAAGGGAGCAGGTAAAATGAAATTCTACCAAGATACACGGAATCACATTTCAGAGGACAGTACACTTCATAGTCACCGTTGTGAAATCTGACATGTTCGGAAAGTTTCCGTTTCTAACCTCTCCCGCGGCACCAGTTGCCCTGATCAATTTTTTATGCCTTTGTCTCCTCACGCTGATGCCGGAAAGGCATATCAAATTGGGCCACGACCGCTTCCTTGTACATCTTGTCAAGTTCATTACCCACTACTCATTCTCCGACACTGTAGTGCCTGATCTACTGAGGCAGTCTGCAAGTGAACAATAAATTAACACAGTCATCAGGCCAAGTTTGTATGACGATAAACGTAAAGTTTCGTTTATACTTTCAGGAAGCTTGGGACAGCTTGGAGTAGAAGTGGCGAGGTTCCTAAGAGATATATATGGCCGAGAGAACGTCATTATGTCTGACATCATCAAGCCCAGGAAAGAGGTTTTCAATGATGGTTCGTGCACATTGTATTTTGGTTCGTTTAAACGTGTCCTTCTAAGTTAGCAATGTTGGAGTGGGGAGATAATGGACATACTGGATTATCCCTTACCAATCTCCCTCAGCTTCCTTCTCTCTATGTTCCTTCTTCCACGTCTACAGTTTTCATTTGTGATCTAGGTACAGTTCTCTTTCTCTCTCTCTCTTTGTGTTTCCGTTTTGTTATTAGTGTAATATAGGTTGGGTAGAAGGACAGGCGACCAACCTGAACGCGCTCCAGCCGTGTTCATTCTTTCACTGACCCTTCTCCAGACAGTAAATAATGGATTTTAAAGGTAGAAGGAAAATAACTTGACCCTTTTTAAGTTACTCCGTCATTTTCTGCGGATGCTTATTACCAGGGCCCGGATTTTGATGACCTGAAAATATTTAAAAAAATGACCTATAAAATGTCCGAAAAAATCCAGAAAAATGACCTAAAGGAGAAAAGAAAGAACATTTCGCTTCCATGTTATTCACATTTCAGAAAACATATGAAGAAAAGTTCCCTAAAATGGCCAAAAATAACAAGAAATACCCTTAAAAGTCCAAAAATTTACTAAAAAAATTACCTTAAACCTAAAAATTTCAAAAAATTACAAAAAATTGCCTATAAAATTTACATTTCTATAACCAGCAGCTCATATCCGAGATTTATATATTTAAGAGCTTCAAACAAGATACAAGGGAAAAAAGATGACATGTAATCAAAATCCGGGCCCTGCTTATTACAATTCCTATAAGCACATGGGATTTGAGGTTTACCGAGGAGCGTATATTAAGATTATTGCCTTCTGAGATTTAATGCCTTGTAGAGTGGTAGATACTTACGATCGTTTCGGAGGAGCTTGCTGCCTCCTCCTGCGGGGTATAAGACGTCATATCAGAATGTAGTTAAATTATATACACCGCCACGCTATCCTCAAGTCTCTGACAGTAGCCATTGTTGTACTCTGAAAGGGGTTGCACGTGGTTCTTTCAAATCCTCGGCAGATACATAGAAAAATACACGGAGTGGTGGTCACAAAGAGAGTCATTTACAAAAAAAAAAAAAACTGTCAAGACAGCCAAATTTTGCGTTGAGTTCTCCATCTGCGACCTACTTAATTCGAAGTAGGAATGTGAGCCACTTGAATCCAGTCCACATCATCATTCCCTCTTCCTTTAAGATCCTATACGAGGTCTGTCCAAAAATATCCGACTATAATTTTTCCCGCTGTAAGTAATGCCCAAAGGGGTGGGGGAACTTAGCGTACTGGTAGAAGGGACTTTCTTGCGCATGCGTGATTTTTTGCTGACTCGCAACACCGCCGGATGCGTCTGTGGCTGCCAGATAGCGAAGTGGTGTAACACGTGTTTGTCACATTCTCGTTTCGCTCAAGATGACAGAACGCCTGGAGCAGCGATGCTGCATTAAGTTTTGTCAGAAACTTGGGGATACCCAAGCGGAAACAATCCGCAAAATTCAGCAGGCTTTCGGCGATGATGCAATGGGGGTCACTCAAATTAAAGAGTGGTTCAACCGCTTTAAACATGGCCGTATGTCGGCGGACAGTGGGCAGCGTTCCGGGAGACCGTCAGTGCTCATATCATTGAAAAAATGCGGACACAGATCATGGAGGACCGTCATTTGACCATCCGGGAAGATGCTGATGAGGTTGGGATCAGCAGAGGATCCGCAAACACAATTTAAACTGAGGATTTGGAAATGCGAAGAGTGACGGCAAAATTTGTGCCCAAGCTGCTTTCGCCGGAGCAGCAACAACTCCGCCTTGAGGTCGCGCAGGACATGCTGGAGTGCCCCAACAGGGATCCTGAGTTCCTGAAGACTGTGATCACTGGTGACGAGTCGTGGGTATACGGGTATGACCCGGAAACCAAGGTTCAGGCGTCACAATGGAAGCATCCAACATCCCCGAGGCCCAAAAGAGCACGACAGGTTCGGAGCAATGTGAAGCTTATACTATTTTTTTGCGATTACCGGGGTCTTGTGCATCATGAGTACGCACCACTAGGCCAGACTGTTAATAAGGAGTACTACCAAGAAATCCCCGCCATCTTCGTGATGCAGTTCGGCGCAAGAGACCGGAGCTGTGGGACGCACGCATCTGGCAGCTGCATCATGACAACGTATCAGCTCATTCATCACACCTGATCCAGGGTTTCCTAGCCAAGCACGGCATCCCGCAGGTTCGCCAGGCTCCCTACTCTCCTGACATGGCTCCTTGTGATTTCTGGCTGTTCCCGAGATTGAAAACACCGCTAAAAGGCTGCCGCTTTGACAGCCTCGAGGACATCATACAGAACAAAACGGCACAGCTGCACGCCATTCCAAAAGAAGCCTTTCAGAATTGCTTCCAGAGATGGAAGGACCGCTGGTCTAAGTGTGTGGAGTCACAAAGGGCATACTTTGAAAGGGATTAGGTATTGTAACCACCCAGATACAGAACTTTGTTTTCCCGGCCCAAGGTCCGATACTTTTTTGACAGAGAAGTATACCACAATGGTCTCTTAGTTTCGGATTTCTAGATAAATCGGCGAAGTCTCAAAGGCTGCTACTTTCCCTATATGTGTTGCATGCCCCACCAGCGCAAGTTTCTTGGGTTGTTCACATGAATAACACTTAAAGAAGAGCACAGCTTACATAATAATTATGTTTAATAATAATAATAATAGTTATAACTTCATGAAGCTTAGCCCTTCTTAAGAAGCCACCAGTTCTGCAGGTTTTTCAAGAACTTCCCAGCATTTTGTGAAACCCGAAACTTCATTACCGTGTTCACAACAGCCCTCCACTGGCCCCTATCCTGAGCCAGATGAATCCAGTCCAAACCAACTCAAGCTATCTCTCTAAGATCCATTTTAATATTATCCACCCACATACTTCTTGGTCTTCCTAATGGTCTGTTTCCTTCTGGATTTCCCATCAATCTCCTATATGCATTCCTCGTCTTCCCAATTCGTGCTACATGCCCTGCTGACTCCATCCTCCTTGACACGATCACTCTAATTATACTTGGAGAAGAGTACAAATTTTGAAGCTCCTCATTATGCAGTTTTCTCCAACCTCCTGTCACTTCATCTCTCTTAGGTCCAAATACTCTCCTCAGCAACCTGTTATCGAACACCCTCAGTTATAAAGTTAATAATAATAGACTTATTAGTAATAATCAAGAACGTAAGCGCCTTAGCTACCAGCTTCTCACATAGCAACAGCCCACAATTGAACACCAGCACTTATTTAACTAACTAACCAACCAACTCAACTCAGTCACTCACCAACCACCTGACTCCACTTCAGTGACTGACTGACTGACGCCACTCCACTGATTCCTCACTGTCCTGCTTATATCATTCCGGCACGGACCACACGGAAAACACGGTTCCTGTGTTTCTGTTTACAGGTCGTTGCCTCTATTGCTGTTTACAGCCGCTGCCTAGTATCAGCCGTTGTCTAGTTGTTTGTTTCAGGGCCGTTGTCTAGCAACGGTCTACATGCCACAATATAAATCTACATAATTTAAGCTAAAATTAAGCAAGACTATACATACGTGTATAACAGTGACTAACTTAAATTATTTATGGAATGACTCATATCGGTGCAGTGTATTTTAAATATAAGCCCCTTCTACTTTTTAATGAGAACACTAAATTGTATATTTTTCATTGTTCAGATCGTGGAAGCCTTTTTCAGTTGTTATTAAAAATTTGAGATGAAAAGTTTCTGTCTCTATCGCATTGCAGATGAGTCACAACCGTCAGGACAAAGGGAACTATGTTCTACCAAAGTAATATAAATATTTTAGAAGTAACATTTGTCTGTTTTATGTAACAATGAAAGGAAGTAATAATGTAACGGATTTGATCAGCACTTTGCCAGGCAACAGCTCTGTAAACACGGTCCAAAACGCAACAATAAATGAGGCTGTTTTCTATGTCGTCCGGCCACGCCCAGTGCTAGTAACGGACCAATAAACTCGCAATCTGACACGTGACACGAGTTTCCTTTGTGGTCTGAGCCATGCAACAATAGAGGGTCTGTGTTTACTGTGCGTGGTGTATGCCATGAGGATATGAGAGAATACGGGAATAGGAATTGACTTCATTTGAGTTCCGAACTTCCAAGGGAACAGCAACGTGGCCAGAAGAAGAATTAGAAGACTTAGTGTGTGTGACGTTACATGCACTGCAGTACAGTGATATTGGGAGTGTGTAATTTAGTGAGACTTTTATAGTTCCCGCGTTATAAATCCGTTGACATGGAACGGATGGCGAAGACTAATGGAAACAGGATTAGAAGATTTGTGTGGAGTGACTGTAAATTGTGTAAATCAAAAAAGTATAAAAATTAATTGTGGTTACCTACATATAAGTATCCAGTAAATCGATTCGCCAATCCAAACCCGCATCTGTAGTCAATCCTACACGTGACAACAACAACAACAATAATAATAATAATAATAATAATAATAATAATAATAATGTATTTATGTAACACGGGATTCTTCTTTCAGGTCCTTATATATTCGCTGATATACTGGATTTCAAAGGGCTTCAGGAAATAGTAGTGACACACCGAATTGATTGGCTCATACACTTCAGTGCCTTGCTTAGTGCCATTGGCGAGCAGAATGTACCGCTGGCCGTCAGAGTTAACATTGAAGGTACGGTACTGCAAAGTTAAAGATAAAGTTTTCCCTGTGCTTAATTACGCACTATGCCTTGAAGACATACGCGAGAGTAGAGGTATAGCTCCACCATTCTTGACCTCGACAGTAAAAGGAGGTGAGTTGTCAGCTTCACGCCCCAGCCGCTTTATCCCGCGGTACCCATTGGATAGGAGGCGGCGTGGGCCCCAGAACCAGTGTGTACTAACCGACTCACTGACTTACTCTGTAACTGACGGCCTATCTACCTAACTAAATGACCAGTTTCTTCAGGTGTAGTGTAAATATGAGTCCACTTCGTACGTTGAGCGAACTTTGGCCTATTTTGAAGCCCCAGATGATGAATGCGGAGCAGCCGGTGGAATGAGTATTGTTGGGGAACCGAAGTACTCGGAGAAAACTCGCGTCGGTACCACTTTATTCTCCACAAATTCCACATGACCTGACCTGAGATCGAACACGGCCCGCCACGATAGCAAGCCGGCAGCTAACGGCCTGAGCTACGGCAGGGCCTAATTTGCTACCAAACTGACTATGTACGTAGTAGGCAACTAAATTATATGCTAATTAACTGCTGGTAACTATCTCTCTACTGGGTGATAATATGGATACCGTAAAGAAAAACACACAAACTTCAATTGACGCAAGTCTAGAAGTAAACACAGAGAAAACTAAATATATGTTGCTGTCTCATCACCAGAATGCAAGGAGAAATCATGACATAAAGATAGGTAACAGATGTTTTGAAAATGTGACACAGTTCAGATATTTGGGAACAACGATAATAAATCAAAACCTGATTCAGGAGGAAATTAAGAGGAGATTGAACTCGGGTAATGCTTGCTACCATTCAGTCCAGAACCTTTTGTCTTCTCGTTTGCTGTCCAAAAGCATAAAAATTACAATATACAAAACTATAATTTTGCCTGTGGTTCTGTATGGGTGTGAAATTTGGTCTCTGACATTAAGAGAGGAACATAGACTGAGGGTGTTTGAGAACAGGGTGTTGAGAATATTTGGACCAAAGAGAGATGAAGAGACAGGAGGTTGGAGAAAACTGCATAATGAGGAGCTTCATAACTTGTATTCTTCTCCAAGTATAATTAGAATGAGCTAGTCAAGGAGGATGAGGTGGGCAGGGCATGTAACACGAAGGGGGAGACGAGGATTGCATATAGGATATTGGTTGGAAAGCCAGAAGGAAAGAGACCACTGGGAAGACCAAGACGTAGGTGGGTGTACAATATTAAAATTGATCTTAGAGAGATAGGATGGGGTGGTATGGATTGGATTGAGCTGGCTCAGGATAGGGACGCGTGGAGTGCTCTTGTGAACGCAGTAATAAACCTTCGGGTGCCACAAAATGCTGATAAATTCCTGAGTAGCTGCAGAATTTGCAGCTCCTCAAGAAGGGCTCAGCTGTATGAGTGAACTATCTCTCTGGTTAGATGATTTACTAAGAAGATGAATAACCAGTTCAGTAACTACGCACCTCTCCAACTAAACAATTAACCATCTATATGACTGAATAGAATGCTGCTTTTCTTGGGAAGCTGACAATTACGCAGGTAGAGCTGCCCGTCTTGACGTTCTCGCCTGTTGTCTGGGAGTGCATAGCAATGCTCACCTACTGCCCTATCTGGCTCCTTCTCGTATCTAGCAAGTATGTGCCTTAAGAATCCTCGTAGATAAAGCTGCAAGCTTTAATGCAATCTGTATTACCGACCTGCTACACCGAATTTTACTGTTGCTTTAACCATGTAAATATCAGGCGACTTGACGATATTCGCTGCTTGTATGCCCTGCATTGTGGCTCCCTCTGTCGAATATGCGTAAAGCAGCAAAATTTTGAATTTCGCCGTTTTGTAGATGCCATTGCTGGCTTTCAAATGATGCATTTAATCGACGTGTTTGATCGATTTTACTACTGTTTTTTAATGTATGGTCGAGGTGACTTATCGATCTTAGGTGGGTGTGCAAACTCTGATTCGTCACTCCTTCTCTCGAATGTGCATGAAGTATTATCAAATTTGTTTTCGATGGTTCTGCAGACGAAAGTGCAGGATTTTAATTTATATATGACACAAACAGGAAGATGAAATGCTTTGTTTGAGTTCCCCTTGCTTAGGAGCGGGAAGATTCGTGCTACTCAACAGACTGCTACGGCAATGACGTCAAAATCAGAGAGCCTCTCTTAGGTGAAAAAGTTGAGAAAATTCTGGACGAAACAGTAAAAATAGTGCATTTGATTGTGACGACGATTCTAGTGTAATAGAAATTTGCCTATTCAGGAAACAACTGCAACAGGGTAAAGTGAGTATGACTACAATGACACTGTTCAAGGCGTGAAGTATGGGGATAGTGGTACAACATTTGCAGGGGATTATTGTGTAAATGAAAGGGCAAAAATTATAGGAAATTTTGGCCATATAATGGTACAAAAGTCTGACGGAACGTGTGGACCTATTCAAGATTTACTTCACGCATGAACTAATAGATACGGGCGTCTGTGAAACAAAAATGTTTAGCCGTACAGCTTATAAAATCCAGGAGAATTCTATTACAATTGTGACGTAGGGTGACAAGACTGGAAACCTGTCGATGGAGAGGTGATATGTGTTGTAGTACTCGAGGTTCTCACAGCGGTGGTTGTCAACAATACTCTCTTCTGTTTTATATCCCAGAAGATAGTACTTTTCGAGATATATGTTGTTCTGGCAATTTTCATCCCCATACACTTAGTTAAAGAACACACGGTAAAATCGTATTTTAAAATACTATTTTGAAAACTCCTGTATTTTGCTCTGTAATACCAATGGGCCGATTTGAATAAATACATAAATTTATGCACTTAAGCGAGAATGACAGCAAATATACACATCTAGGCCTCATAAAACGTTTTAAAATGCACATAGTAATGTAATATCTTAAAAGAAATTTTCAGAATTTCTATATACCGGGCCAGAATATTGCCATAGATGAGACTCTGACGCTATAAAAAGGAAGGCTTTTGTTCAAATAATACATTCCACTCAAGTAATCGATGTTTGGAATGAAGTCTTACGAGCTTTGTAAATCCTGCTCACGACATCTTTGGTTCTTCATTATTTATACTGGACGAGACATCAGATTCCAGTCAACACTGGTATGAGAGGGAGACTGCAAAAACAGCTGTTGTGTTGCCCCATGTGCAGCTATTGCTTGCTGGAGGGCATGCATTCTAGACGGACAACTTCTACAGTGCAACTAGCACTGGCTAAACAAGTGAAAGATATGAGAACTGATTGTGCTCAAGTTCTGCACGTGAATACGGAAGACGCACCAAAAACAGTAAAACAGAAGAAACTAAGGAAAGGGGAAATTTTAGCTCAGAATTCTGGCCCAATATCTGTGCTGAAAGTAGTGATAAAATGGTCACCATGATCTCAACACATCATGATGACGAAATGAGAAATGTCAAACAGGACATGAAGAAGAAAGGGAACCCTTCTAGACCACAATCAAAACATGAAGAGACTCGATCTGCAAAACCAGCTTCTTCACGCTTATCTTCCGGACAGAAATAAGATGACAAGATCAAAATGTTCAGAAGATTTTTCAGTGCCACAATTCTCAGCTCTATGGTCATCTGCAAAGAAAATTCACATGGGAAACGAAATTTAGAATTCATACACGTGTTTCAGTCTCTAACTGTACAATATGGGGGCAGTGTTGAAAGAAAGGTGCCAGGGTGTTATTTCACGGACAGCTCAGTGCTTAGACTTGACGAAAGACGTATCCCAGAGAGGATTCCTGCAATTGAAAAGAGCTCGAAGTCAACAAAGGGGTGTGTGTTATGTTACAAGAACTCCTAGAGGGAGGAGGCACTACTTTGGTGTCCTGATTGTGAGGCCAGTCTCTGTGTTGAGGGCTGCGTCAAGACATACCACACGAAGCTCAAATTTTAAAACAAAATCTCTTTCTTTTATAAAAGCTTTGGTGTTACATTAACATCCTTCAAGTACTGAGGCAGTAACAGCTTTCTGAAAAACTATTTATCATAACAAAGCAGAAATATAAAGCCCCAGGAGGAATATTCTCGCATAGCGCGACAGTATCTGGGTACTGAAATGCCACCACACACTAAAATGTAGCGAACAGGTCTACATTCAATCACAAGATTTCAGCCCACGTCCTAACACCCTAATTCTTTAAGATCCTGAACTATTATCAATAATGTCAGTCTTCATGGTTAGAGCGGAAATGAGTCAAAACCGACTTCCTGAATTGCTGGGCTGATTTAGCCATATGGGATATGGGAGGTTACCTGCACACATGTTCAGCAAGTGTTTGTCCAGTGAAGAGGGTGGCAGGGGGACAGGACAGGAAGCTGCCATGTTGAGCGTGGGCGCAGAAGTCTCGAATTTGGAAAAATTATTTTGAAGATATGAGCAAAGGCAAAGGGAGGTAATTTTAAAAATGATGTTAGAAAAATAGGCCTTTAGGATGTGGGCCAATTTGCCAACCTTTGTGAAAACGGCAAAGGAGCTTTGAGTTCAGTTAAAGATGACAATTGATGGACCGGATGAGCGACTATTGGCAATCAGTTAGTGTTCACACTCTTGGACTCTTGATATCGAGAGATCGAAATCTGCTCTGTGTTTCGATATATCGCCTCGATCTTCAGACTTTGTTCCCTGATGTCAGAAGCTTCCTAATGGGAAACTCCTGCATTCAGAGTGCCTTACTGAATACCTACCATATCAAATTAAATGAAAAATATTATAGTTTTAAATGAAAACTATAACAATAACTGTTGAATATTTGGTTATGTAGATGTTTCGCTGCTGGTCCAGGTGCTAAAATTACCAAGACCTGCGCTGGTGAAGAGAATCAAGCTTCAAATCCCTTACAATAATTTTGTTCCTACCAGCACCACGGACAGTGCTTCTTGTGTGTCACACTTCGGACAATGTTCCATGTAAAACTTCAATAAATTACCTGAATGTAAATACTCGTATATTGTTACGTGCCTCTACTACAGAAGACGCGATTGTTGCTTCAGATGTTTCTGTATGACACGTGCACAGACATCCAGCATTCTGTTGTCTTTGATTATTATGAACCAGAAGTAGTTAACAACAACTACTGCAGATGGCAGCATTTCCCATTGTGTTCTTGAGTTGTGCTGAAATTCATGAGAAAGGAAGGAATTTCACAACGTGTAAACACGTATATCGAACAGAATATCAAGATGAATAGGCAGTATTCCACTGTGTTCGCAAGGTCGCTGGTTCAAACTTCGGACCTAGCTAAGATATTCCGTGTTTTTTTCCAGTCACTACCAACTTATGCCATTATAATTACCTGCCACATTATTCAAAAAGCGTTTTTCATTCATCATTATATCCCTTGGCTATAAATAGCCTAAGCTACCGGCTCTCGTTAATATATTGCAAATAATTTTCCTCCAGCTAGCATCCCGCAAGTAATGGCTGTGCCATATAAACCCTTCATGCAAGCAGTAGGCGGGTTAAGTTATTTGAATATGGATTATTGTTTAACTAAGAACCGGGTAGCTCAGTCATCGTGGTATTCGGTATTCGATTCTTGGTGGGCCTAGACGTTTTTTCTGCGGTGTCCAGGCTGGCTCTGGGACCCTGGTGGCAATATCTCCAGGAGTAGAGCGGTCGGTCTTAACGTTGGCAATTCACTTCCATCATGTGTCGAAAATAAAGAATGCTAGGATCCTTACCTCCACAAAAATGCACGGGATATAATTGGGATGTAATAGAAATCCTATTTGTTGTGTACTTAATTGTATATAATTTTGTGCATCTGTGTTGGTTGTTTACCTCAGACACTACAATATTCTGATGAGAGATGTCTATGTTGTCTACAGGTGTACACAATGTGATAGAACTGGCTAAGCAGTACAAGCTTAAGTTGTTTATTCCGAGTACGATAGGGGCATTTGGACCAGAATCTCCCCGAAATCCAACACCAAATATAACAATTCAACGTCCAAAAACAATATACGGCGTTTCAAAAGTGCACGCCGAGCTTCTGGGGGAATATTACTTCCACCGATATGGCTTAGACTTCCGTTGTCTTCGATTTCCGGGAGTCATCTCCAGTGACCCACCGGGAGGAGGGACCACGGGTAAGTAAGTTCTAAAAATGGGGGGGGGGCAACTTAGGCAAAGGGATAGTTATAGGAACAAGGTTCCACAAATAATATGCTTAATGCCACAAAAATATTGGCCTGTATATCGTCATAAATTTTTGGTGAGTGCAATGTACGTATATTCTCTTACTCTCTGCTATCTAGAAACTTGAAGATTAACATTGAAAAAAATTGCAATTTTAGGTGTGAAACTTAGTCGTTCACACTAAGGGAAAGACATAGATTGAGGTTGCTCGAGAGAATATTTGAACCTAAGAGAAGGCTGAATAAAAATGCATAAAGTTGGACGTAGCATTCTTCACAATTATTGTTAGAATGAGCAAATAAAGGATGAAATGGGCAGGGCACGTAGCACGAGCGAATGAAAGTTGTGGTAAAAAAACCTGAAAGAAGGAGTCTCTTATGAAGAATTTTGATTGTATGGGACTCTAATATTGTTATATATATAGAAAAAATAGATTTTAGTGTGTGGCCCGGATTCATCTGGCTCAAGATAGAGACTCGTGGCCGGCTTTTGTGGACACAGAAACGAATCTTCGGATTTCATATAGTACTGGAAACATTTCGAATAGCTGGGCAAATACTGACTTCTCTAGACCCACTCTGCCCAATGGAGTTCGTTAATTACATTTATCTTATTTATATTGTATATTCATTTATTTATCTCTTTAATTTTAATTCTATTTCCTCTTCTGATTTCTATTCCACTTTTGTTACTTCACTCTGTATTTTATTTACATTTATTTTTGGCCGCGCCATAGCTCAAGTGGTTAGTCGCTAGCTTCCCACCGCGGCGGCTCGGGTTCAATCACGGGTCTGGTCAAGTGGGATTTGTGGTGGACAAAGTGGCGCTGAGGCGGGTTTTCTCTGAGTAATAAGGTTTCCCCTGCCAGTCTTAATTCCACCAAATTCTCCACCATCATAATCACCCGGGGAAGGCTACAATAGGCCAATCAGTGTCCGCCGTGCCGAGGGGACCCAGTTCGACTCCACCTCCCACTAAGCGAATTAAAAAAAAATACATTTATTTTTATTTATATTTTTCTTTAATCAGCCTATAGCCGGCCCGAAAATTTTATTTGGGCTACAAGAGTACGTAAGGTGGAATTTACACCTAAACTGGTAATTAGGAAAGGTAAATGAAGGCTGTTAATAGGGACAAATAAAGACAATGGATAGGGAAAGCAGTAGCGTAGTTTGATGAGACACTATACTACAAACAGGAAAGTCGCGGGTTCGAGTCCAAGTGTCAGTGGATTTTTCGATTTACCTAATTCTTCCAGCCGCACCATGGCCCTGGGGTCGACTGAGCCTCTAACAGAAATAAGTACTAGGAATCTTCCTGATGGGTAAAGGGCAGCCGGCCGGCGCGTAAGGCTGACAACGTCACCGCCATCTGTGAGGCGATTGTCTAGAAAATGTGAGAGCCTCGACGTCTCACAATGTTATGGTCCTCCACGTCCTGTTACAGGGATAGCTTTACCTTTTAGCCGTTAATATTAAAATATTTGCTGTGCAAGGGCAATTCAATTCAATATTCTTCAAAATTCAGATCATCCGAATAATTATCATCTTAATAACTAGAGTTAGGAATTTTATGTAGTACCATCATGCAAAATACGTACATAATTTTGTAACCAGAGCCTCTGAAGTTCGTAGTAAAATATGTCGATTCATTAAAATATGTAACATCACATAAAATAATATTTCATTTTACAAGCAACCTTTATTTTCAATCTTCTGACACAATCACTGATTTTTATGCACAATGCACAGTTAGAAAATTTTCGTATTTTTTTTTTTGGTCACTGATTTTCTTTTATGTGATAGAAAGTGTTTGTATACTGAACAGGATGTTTATACACCATGTTAGTGGTGCCAACTTTAACGAAGGGATTTTCTCAGGAGCTTTGTCTTCAGGGGGACCTGCATCGTCTCCTTTAAGTACCTAACAGGCACTGGCAAATGTCGAAAATCCAGGGTTTCTTTTTAACGGCTCCTGCAACTTGTGGACACACTTTCATCAGCTTCCCCTTTCATAGCGCTAAGATTTTCACTTACGTCCCGTAGATTCTTGCAGAGGAAGTCCCTGGGTTTCAAAACATTTTACACTCTCAGGAAGGCAGCCGAAATTGCTTCAGGTATAGGCAATTGAACAATGGGTTGTCCGTACTCTATGGAAGGTAAACAACGGCTCAGTTATATACTCAGTCGTTGTTTACATTCCCTAGAGTACGGACAGTACTTTGTGAGATGAGGCACTAACTAAACAATTAACATTAATTTACTACATCTACATCACGAGCCTCCTATAAAATCTTATATACAAAAAGAAAAAAATATATAGAATATTCCAATTTTTCCATGGGAACGTCCGAAAATAAAAAACCAACGACTGATTCGATGTATTAAAACATCAATTAAAATTTTATTCTTGTTTTATACTATAACTTATGGTTTCATATATATATATAACCCGATTTATTTTATTTTTTACATCAATTGTTTTATATGTTTAATAGTATTGTATCCAGTTTAATAGTACTACAGTTCAGTGGTGTATATATGTTCAACATGTATTTGCCTGATGATGGCTATTGATAGCCGAAACATGTAGCAGAGCCGTAGCTGGGCACTGACCTTGATGCTTGTTGTGTTGTGACGGTTAATAAAGAAGTTGTAACAATATTAACATGGATCTTAGAATGATAACATGGGGTAGTATGAACTGGATCGAGCTGGCTGAGGACAGAGACTATAGGAGGGCTCTTGTGAACACGGTAATGAACCTTCGGTTTCCATAAAATACTTGGAAATTCTTGAGTAGCTGCAGAATTAGCGACACTTCCACAAGGGCCCAGCACTGTGGGTAAGTATTTTTTTATTGATAGTGGGGTGGGACTAAGTCCCTTGTACTGAGGCCATTTCTGGCCTATTGTACCAGCCTCAGATGATAGGTGAGGATGGTTGTGGAGCAATTGCTGGAAGAGGACTGGCAGGGGAAACCGAAGTACTCGGAGAAAGCCTGCCCCAGCGCCACATTGTCCACCACAAATCAAACTTGACCAGAACCAGGATCGAATCCGGGCCGGCGCGATGGGAAGCCAGCGACGAACCACTTGAGCTATGGCGCGGCCTAGTAAGTAAGTAAGTAAGTAAATGATATGACGGACCTTGTCCTAAACTGAGCTAACCTGAAGTAACCAAACTTAACTAGATTTAACCTAAACTTACGTAACTTGAACTAACCTAACCAGAACTAACGTGATATAACCTAATTTACTTAACACAATTTAACTAATGTGGCTTAAGGTAACTTCATCTAAAGTAACGTAACTTGAAAAGAACACGCTCCCTCCTTTCAGTATAAAAATATTTTTCCTCTTCTCTCCTGTATATGGGAGTCGGACGGTTCCTCCGAAAAGCTGGTACCATACCAAACTACATAGCTCTTCTTACTACCTGCTTCACTGTGCTTTATTTCTGGCTTATTGACTTATCCTTCGACTTGTAACCGATCTGCCTACCTCAGCTCGATTTTATTTGGTAGAATGTTGGATCCGGGTAAATTAACATGTTCCGTTAGGTCTACTTGTAATATACCGCAAATGGACGAGCGGCACGTAGGCTATTTCTTCCCCTCAAGAAGGAGTTTTAGCCCAAACTCTCCAATGGAAAAGACAATCGAAAAGAAAACGACTGGTCAAGGCAGATGCGGAACGAAAGAGAAAGACCCCTCGCAGCTTGGTTCTTTAGAAAGTCGCATGAAATTTTACTTGTCTGTATCCTTTGAGAACACAATATGTGACAGTTTTGAACCCATAACTCAAAAGATGGATGGTCTCCCAACCCCAAGCCAAGCGTAACATTTGTCAAACTACTGACAGGTTTTACGTTAAGTTTTAGCGCCTAAATTCCCTGTAATCCCTAAACGGATTGGGGAAATACTTAATTAGTGTACTCCCATTTTTTTGAAAATGACCAGTCCTCGTAATTTCGGGAGATGACTTATGGACCGAGGCGGCTCCGAGAGTTTCGAGGAGACGGCATTCTGGAGGAGTCTTACTCAATATTATAAAAAGATTATAAAAAGACGTAGTCAAACGGGTAGGCGAACGATTATAAAGAAGATGACGCCCAACGTGGGGCTCGATATCTCAGCAAAGGAAGAATAAGGAGGAGAGGAGCCCCACACACCATGCTTAACTTCGCCAACAACCAACACCAAACACCAGGGACACCGTAACAGCTCAACCTACTACGAAGGGTTAGGACGGCCCTAACTACGAGCTACAAGATCCACAGCTACAGTCACCCAACGAAGGTCGCCGTGACATACGACTAACAGGTTAGTGTCCAAAAGTGAAAAAGGCGAGCGGATCAGTTCGTAACCTCACAGTAGAGGGACAGCAGGAGGACCAGAAATTACTGGGGAGAGTGCCAGTGCAAACTGCAGAGAGCCGTCAGAGATCTTACGCAATCTAGGCGAGGTAGGACACTCGCTCAGCTCACCACAGGAGTCAGTGTTAGTTTCAGAGTCAGTATCCCAACCAGATATGTTAACTGTAGAGCATCAAGTCAGGGAAACAAGTCCCCAGCCTCACACTCCAGGGGCCGCGGACGAGCTTAAACAAATGCTGGCTGGATTCATGACCGCGATCCAGCAAAGCAATACACAGTATCAGGAGTCAATTAGGGCCGATCTTAACAAGCATCAAGAAACCGTTAGGGCAGACATAGGCAGTGTCCGTGCAGATCTCAAAGCGGAAAGTGAAAAACTAATCCAACAATTTGAGAGGCAAAACCAGGAGGCTAGGCGAGAACTTAAGGCACAGTTAGACGCAGAAGCCCGGCGAGTAACCAGCCTAGTTTCTAAGATGCAAAAAGAGACCGAATTGGAATTAGTAGGGGTGAAAAAGCAGGTGATAGGCATTAGTACTGACTTCGAGACCAGGTTAGAGCACGCCAGTACTAAC